ATAAATGTCATTTTGGAAAATCTGTTTACTTTTACTCAGTACTTTTACTTTTAATACTTAAGTAGATTTTCTGTCAGAAATTTACTTAAGTACAAAAAATATCAGATACTTTAAGACTTTTACTCAAGTAATATTTTTAGAGGAGATTAACTTTTACCAAAGTATTTTTATGATAAGATACTTGTACTTTTACTCAAGTATCACTTTGAGGTACTTTATACAGCACTGCAAGTGGCTTATAATGATGCACTAAGACTTTCACTAAAGAAGCCCAGATTGACAGGCACCAGTGAACTCTTTCTTACTGCTTGGGGTCAATATGGTGACGGTTGTTTAGAGAAGTTTTACATTTACCTTTATCTGTTGACTCAGTCTGATAATGGAGTCATTTTATTACTGATGCTGTTCACATATGTTACACATCTGAACATTGAAAACACTGGTGTCTCCTATTTTGTAATGTGTCTTTTTCTTCATTATTTTTTATTTTTATGTATTATGGACCATGAGTCTACATATAAAGTTCATCATCATCATATCTTGTGTTCTTGTCTTTGTTTGCTTTTTTTTTTGACTGTGGCATCACTATGGACTCACCCATGTTTGTTTGTCAGGAAAATATATCATAAACCAGTGAATGGATTTTTTTTTTTGGATATTTCAAAATAAGTTGATCTTAGTTTAAAGATGGCAGATGATAGATTTTTTCATGGAATCCCTGACCATTTTATTATTATTTTTTCTTAATTTTCAAATCGCTGGAAGTGCAAAATACCCAGAAATAATGGCACTGTGTAATTGTCTCTTTCTTTGTGATAAAAAAGAGGGAATGTGTCTATTTAGTGGGCTATAATCACACACAAACACAGACCTTGATTATCTGTATTTGTAGCATTTTAAGGAACTTTTCCTGTAGGGTGTGAGTATGAGTGTTAATTTCTATTTATATCCTGACTGTGTATTTATGAGTGTAAGTATAACTTTGTGTGTGCATTGTAAGTGTTTGTGCGCTGGGCTCAGTTTTCAGATTGGGTTTAGATGACAGTCAGGGTTCTTTGTTGTGGTTTTGGGTCTGGCTGCTGTCTGAGGCCTCCTGAGTGTGTTTTTTGCCGCCACACTGAGCAACAGACTAAAGACGCCTTTTTAACTTTAAGTTGGCGATAAGACCCTTAAAGTACCAATTAGGGCTAATTATGAGCTAAAATAGGATGTGTGTGGCAATAATCAGCTTTCTGTTTCTCTGGTAGTTGTTAACATATACAAGATGCTTTTATCTGCAAACTTAAAGGGTGTGGTGCTAGAGTTATTTTAGTATGTAACAGAACAAAAATAGGTTTTGTTTATTTTTTAACACAAACATCTGATTTAAACGCTTAAATAAAAGGAAGCTGTAGTCATTTAAGACTATTCAGAAAAATCCAAATTATACAAAGTGAAATGCTAATTTACATTTTCTGTTTTGAGCAGCATAGCTGCTTTTAATTTATTTGAAAAAAGAGCCAAAATTTCCTAAAATAAATCAGCATTTTTTTCCAGAACACAACTGAAATCGGACAGTTCCTTTTTAGCACCCTAGCAGCATGTAGCAACACCTTCCTAAAAATGTTCCCTTGGTGACCCTCAGTTCTGCTTCCTCCAGCTGATTAGGTGAATGGATGGGAAGTTCTCCGTATTCCTCCACACATCCGTTCCGAAAAAATCCACAGCTCCGGTCATTGTCTTCAAAGTGGAGTCCAGCCCCCTCTGGGATCTTATTATGCAAGCCTGTGTTTATGTGTGTTTGTGTGAGCTTGTGAATCCCCTGTTTAGATCAAACATCTTAGATTGAACCGGATTAACCAACTGTCGAGTGTATAACACGAACTGACACAGTCTTGGGTTACTAATCCATCACTTTATCAATAGATAATCAAGTTTTACGAGATTAAAATCTCAGAGAGGCTGAAAGGTGTTGGGCTTTTTTCCATCACATTTTGTCTCATTCCAGAAGCAGCAACTGTGTTCAAACTAGTTCCTTGTCTGCCTGTCAGCAAGTCCCACATCATTGAGATAATAACTATTTTCTGTATTTTTAAGCCTCCAGGCTTTTTGTCATGTTTGTATTTTGCTTTACCTTCGGTGCACGCAAGGTTCAGGGAGCTGCTTTGGTGGAACAAAGCCTAAAAAAACACACAATGGATTATTTTTTTCCCTAAAAGAATTTACTGATTTGGAAAATAAATCCATATCTTACTGGGGCAAAGTGAATGAGTCATTAAAGCAAAACCTGTTTTCACAGATGTTCAGCAAACTTGATTTCTTGTTAATTTTCCGGTCCTGCAGCAGCTCCTGTCCATGTTTTTCCCCTTCCTCCTGTATTCAGGTAAAATATTTCTCCTCAGAAGAAAATAAATCTGCTGTCTCACTGTATTTGACAGTCTGTTACAGATTAGCTCTCGGGGAGGCGACCCCTGAGTTTCCTCCTTGGAGGTGCATAGGGCTCTCACAGCTCCTTTTGTTTGAACTGTTTGCATGAGTTAAAGTGTTCCAGGGTGCAGGGGAGCCAGAAGAAGACTGCGGCCCCAAGGCTCAGAATATGAGGGATTTTCCTTTAATCTTCCCTTTCCAGTTCACTCTGGTCTTGTTGAGTTTTTGGAGGAATAAGTGACTTTTGCCTCATCTGGCTCTGTGCGCAACGTGACGCAGCCAGCTTCCTGTTGGAGGGGTCTGCTTGCGGTTGGCGCAGTTTAGATGGTCTCTCCCACGCCACACCGAAGGATACACACTTCTCCCACAGAAACACACACACACAGCAGCAGCTGGACCAATGTGAGCGCGCAGGAGAGGAGACGAATACTACTACTCCTGTTTTTTATGTGTGTGTGAAGCGCTGAAGACACCAAAACTTTGGGGATTCTTAAATTTACAAGTTGTTAAACAGCTGGGAACTGTGACAGGGGACACTATTTATTGCCCACTATCTTTCTAATAGAGGAATTTCTCTTTTTGTTTAGAATTTGCCGTCTATAGGCTACCGTTAACGATTGGTCCTAAATTGCGCGTGACTTCGTTTTTTTCCCCCCAAATCAGCGCTTTTATCTCTGGATTTCCAAAAGGATTTGGGTTTATTTCGTTTCAATAGATCTAATATCGAGTTTTATGACTTGAGTTCGAGTTTCTTGACATTTATGGTGCATTTCAGTCTGCTTCTCCACATATTTCGCTCCTGCTGACAC